AGAGAGAGAGAGAGAGAGAGAGAGAGAGAGAGAGAGAGAGAGAGAGGGAGAGAGAGGGAGATGGAGAGAGAGCGCAAGAGAGATGTGTCGCTCAAGTGAGAAGAAGACAGAAAAATGAAAGTGTGTGTGTATTTTATACATCTCCTGGCAAAGCAAGAAACACAGAGAGATCAAGCTGTAGGGAGCAAGAAGCCTAAAGCTGTGTTAGCTCACCTACAGTCTGCTCAGTGGCAGCATTACAGGCAGTGAGCAGCTACTGCTTGTATTTAAACAGACTACAGCGATCCAAGGAGGTATTTTTCACAGCAGACATTTTGACATATCATAGTGGGGGAAGCACAGGTGTAATTAGTCACATTAGTGACGCCTGAATTCCATTTAAGCTCATTCCAGGGGTCCAGGTAATGTGCATGCTCACTCCACTGTCATGACTCACTGAGACACTTAAAAGGTACAGTGTTAAAAGTTTTAGTTTCACATCCGTTTATGCTGCAATGAAAAGTCAAAATGTGTGATGTTATAATGTGCACTCCTACTCTCGCACACATTCCTCAAAATCAACTTATTGTATTGAAAATACAAAATAAATAGAAAACTCAAACTATTTGGCATTTCGGATAGAGATGTTGAGAAGACTTTTCAGCTTCCTAAAACTTCTTTCATGTTATAAATGATTATGTAAATGTATTCATTTAATGAATTAACTTACGTTTAATTAATTTTATCCAGCTGTTTACCATCAACAACCAGAAAGAAGCCCGTGTGCAGAGGGTATTTCAGGCCCAGTTGTAGCGCTCAGCTCCACCGCGGTGAGGCGCTGTTTGAAACACGCTGAGCTGGAAAAAACTACTTCCGGGACCCGCTTCGAAAGACCGGAAGTTGCCTTTGTTGACTCGTCCGGAGAAGAGCAAAGATGGCGAACATGGACGTGGAGGAGTTTATTCAGCAAAACAGAGCCCTGGCGGACCAGGTAGAAACGTTTCGAGGGTACTGGGAGAGCGAGAAACACTGGCAGGCCCGGAGGGAGTTCGTCCTGCGGAACATCAGCGACTTTGAGGATCCGCATCTGGACCAGCTGGTCTCTCTGTCCATGGTCTGGGCGAACAACGTCTTCCTCGGCTGTCGGTGCGTAAACACAACGTGTTGGTCCTCACGGTTTAATAAAATATACGCCCTTATTGGACAGATATTTTTAAACATATTGTTTGATATAACGTCTGAATGATAAGTCGCAAAACTCACCTTCGTGTGTTGAGCATGGCTGTATGTTTGTGGGGGTTCAGACTCTTCTTCGGCTCTTAATGGGCTCGCTGCTGCCCCCTAGTGTCCGGAAGACGACAAACAAAATGACTATTTAAGACAGTTTAATATTTATTATGTTATACGCAGGAACTGGGCAATGTTGCCTGAAATATGACAAAATTGTTAGTTTTTTGTTACTATAAACACTTAAGGAACAATACACCACAGATGGATTAATGATGCAGAGTGCTAGTATTATTAATAAATATTAACAGCACGTTTCTCTTCACCGATGGCAGGTACAGCACGGAGCTGCTGGACAAAGTGAAGGACATGGCTGAAGGCGTCGTGGTGGAGGATGCACCGGTGTTCAAGACCAGAGACGAGATCATGAAGAAGCAGCAGGTTTGTGTATGGACACACACACACACACACACACACACACACACGCTGACAAAATAAGATCCTTCATGTATTCTTCTCTTTTCCATCACAGAGTCGATGACCGGCTCAGTCGTGTAGGATGAAGCCTGAAGACCAATGGGACTTGGCTGTTGTTTACATGCTTTTACATGTTTTTATTGCAGATGTTTTCACATCTCAAATCTTGTATCAAAAGCAGAAAGACTGCATTGCTCAGCTTTTAATTGTACATGAGTGGGAGCTTCACTGCTCGACCATTTTTTTTTTTAAAGCGTACTTGTCGTTTTAGGTTTGTTTTTTTAAATAAATTCAGATGAAAGATGACATTGGATCTTTTCCTAATGTCTGAAGCATAATAAAATACTTTATTTCTTATCATGGGGTCGTTTTGTGTGAATAAACAATCGAGGACATAACTTTTCTCAAAGCTCTACAGCACCACACAACGTTGAGCTGGTTCATGGTCTGGACAAAACCGGAACGAAACATTCCAGCACATTTTCTCAGTTCAGGGTTCTTTTTGCATCTTGATTATTACTTTCAAATCGTCTGCAGGTGGTTTATTTTCCTTTTTAAAAATGATTTTAGGACCATTTCTGAGCACAGACTCAACCTTAATCAGAACCAAAGAGGAAATGTTTTTAAATGAACAGATTAAGATACAATACTACAGAAAAAACATCTTCAATCTTCAACAAATGAGAGCTGTTAATTAATAAAAGTTAAATTTTAAACACGGTAAGGACGAACAAAAGATCAAGAAACTCATCTCAAACTCTGAAAAATGTCTTTTATTATGTTTATACAGCATATTGTTATAAGTATACATTTTTTTCGTTTAATTCACAAAATCTTCGTAACATATCCCTTCTGTGTTTGTTTTTTGGGTGAAATAAATTGCGAGAACTCTGTTTTATGACGACCATCTTCTGTGGATTCTTTATCTGGAGTTAATATACTCAACGAGTCTTTTTTTAAATTGGGTTTCACAAACAAAATAAAATAAGAGACAAAACACAGGCGTGAAGACAACTTGAGGCTTTTGGAGGGAACGGTTGATTCAAACCGCAGTCCATCCTCTTAAATGTTTTCATCGAGACGGCGCTGCTTTCATCTTCTGCTCATTCGCTAAATTTAAAATGTCAAATGTGTCATTTTAAGAGAGATCAAAAACACTGACGGGTTTACTTTCTGCAGCGGATGTAGTTCTACATTCATCTTCTTTCTACTCGCCAAGATACATTATGAGCTATGACAACCGATAAAGCTCTTATAGAAAGTGAGCAGAATGGAACCGAGAACACTGCTGTCGTTTAAACATGATATAGCAGCACCACCATTCAAGAACATCCTAAAGCGCTGTGGAGACTCCTGAGCGCCTCTGGTTTTGATAACAATTAAGAAAAGAGACACTCGGACACAGAGGACAACAGGAAGACTCACTGAGCAGACTTCAGGATTATGTCTGCCTGTCTCCTGGGCTCAGCCGGGACTCGTGGTGTTGATGTTTACTTTCATCTCTCTAATGTACTCGTCTACCTGATGAGCGGAATATAAAGCTCAGAGCGGCCGATCCTGTGACGTCTGTGAGCCTCGAACCGACGGCGTCTCCTAAAATATCAGAGATATGCTGGAACAGAGCCGGTTGTTCCTGATGAGCTGCGATGGATCCGACTCTGAAAGGCTTTTTTTTTTGGATTGTTACTCTTCGAAATATGCTGATTCGGTCATCTTTCCTAAAAGCCGAGTTGTGTGCACACCAGCAGACGTTACAACAACAAAAAAAAGGAAAACTTCCAAAAGGTAAAACAAACAAAAAGTGTAAAACTCAAACCTCTAACTGCATCAATCCACAAAGATATATTACAAATTCTGTTAGCAATAACTTATTTCACATCATGCAATAAAACAAAAAGTAAAATTAAGGACAAGAAACACAAATATAAGATTTATTTACCCTTCCTCGTCTTCCTCAAATGTATTGGCAAGCGTGTTAATGTCCATTCTGGTGTTTGTGTTTGTATTCAGGGTGGCACTTGAGTTCTTCTGATATAGTTGCTGTTTTTTTATTCTTTCTTGATGAGGTATAAATGAAAGACTGGAGTACTGTGATGATGATGATGAAGAGGAGGAGGAGGAGCTCACACGTCCACCCAGCTCTGCTCCACGATGGCCGTCACCCTCTTCTCGTACTCCCTCTTGTTTTCCTGATAGAGCTGAGCGGCCTGACTGTTGGCCGGGCTGTTCGGGTTTGGCTCATCCAGCAACGACTGCAGGACAAAAACAATATTAAAAATATTAAGGACGGGAGACACACTATTCAAAACTCACTGGGGACTATTCCACCATTACTCCATTCTAAAGAAATACCCACAATGTACCTGTACGCAAGGCAACGTATTAGAGAGCGCTTCATCCATAAATGCACGACAGTTTAAATTACGTTTTTAAATATTTAGTATTTAGATAGTTTGAGATTTTCTTTTCTTCCTTTTCAGCTTCCTTAAACGCATTATTCTGACGACAGGGTTTAGAAAGACATGCAGACATGAAGGAAAATAAATCATTCAACTGTAACTTTGCTACCAATTTGCCATTCTCTAGTTAAAAAAAATCCAGCCATGAAACCATCCATTCATAAAATTAAAACCACATACGATTGAATCCTTCCCTCCCCCAATAATAGGCACCGATATTTATGGCTGAATTAATAGTAATCTGGTCAAACTTATCGTTATTATATCAGCTTCTACAATGTTTACATCATGCATAAGATATTATTATTATATATATTATTCTGTTCCCTCATCCCTGAACTTTTCCCTCCCTGGGAACAGAAAACTTTGGACGTATTGAAGGAAACATTTGATTTGATTCATTAACATCCACTGAAATGTTCACACCCACTCTACACTACACTCGCTGGAAAAGACTTTTATATTGTGCTCACGTGAGCATTCGAGTTGCATCAACTAACCGACAAATATCCCAATAATGTGTCCTTATGCTCTCACGGACGGCACGAAGAGAAACCAACCCACCTGGATGGAGGTGAGTATGGACGACACGTCGTACGTGGGGCTCCAGCGGTTCTGAAGGATGTCTAAACATATACTGCCATCTGCGTAAACTGGTAAACAAGAGAGAAATTATTCATAACTTTGCTGTTTTCATATTGCAGTTAACTACAGAACAGGTAAATAAGAAGAGCTCACCGAGTCAAGTGATAAACATGCAGCACAAACCAGTCAACACTTCTCAGTCAGAAAGCATCATATTGGCTTTGCAATGCACCGTTTGTGTGTTTTTTAATACATGCATTATGTACAAAACTCCCCAAAAGCCCATAAAGAAGGAACAGTAATCCCACATTATTCATTATGCATCAGCACCATTATTATGAGTTATTATCAGACTGGTATCGGAGCCACAGTTATATTTTATATGTTGGCAGAGACTACAGTCTATTCATTCATTCATTTGTTTATCGGCCTACATATGAGCAACTTTGTTTTTACAGACTATCACTGTAATCTATTCGATTATCGCACATTTTGCAGCAGTTTTTGTTTCAATAAGAAAAGTAAAATCTGTCACGAGACGATAATAGACTAAAGTAGAGTATAAGTGAATAATGATCACAAGTTTGTGAGCTTGTGTCGTCGTTTCACCTCCACCGACATGTTAATGCAGCAGCTGGGCAGCTCGCTCTGTGCGTAAAAACACAACGGCAGCGTTTATATTTTCATTCTGCTTGGATGAGGAGAAACTGGAAGCCTCGAGATAACGGAAGGCCACAAACTTACCATTTGGGTGAAACATTCTGGAGACAAACCGAACTGTGGGAGGCTTGTTTGGGTACTCCTCTGAAAACTCTATCAGCAGCTTAAACGTTCCTGCAGAGAGACACACAAGCCATCCTGTGAGGAGAATACAGATGTGAAGGAGCAAGCCGGTCAGAGAGAAGCCAGAGAAACAATTAGGTTTCTAAAAATACAGCCGGCTCGACTGGAAGGAGACGCTAATCCTCCAGCGAGGAGGAGACGTCGACGCTGCAGGCTAAAAGGAGAAGAAGGGAGCCCGAGAGGAGGAAACAATGAACCCTGAGTCAGCGCTTCTCCTGCCGGACCCGAGTCATAATTACTGGCAAGAAAAAGGTGCATGTGTGCATAAATGTGTTCTATATCTCCTGATACTGAATGCATTATACAGCAGAACTAAAGTTCACGACCACGTACGCACATCTATGTTCAGATACTCAGCTGGTCCTGATGTCAGCTATTTGTATTTTTAAAGAGATTAAAACCAGTCTACAGTTTTCTGTTGGTCAAGTTAATAATTCAGAGCATTGTGTTATTAAAAAGCATGCTATGCATTTACTGCTTTATTTGATGTGGTTTTATACTTCTGCATATGAATATTAGAAGATATCCTGATTGTCATGATGATGATTTAACTGTATCATCCGGCTCGTTATCACTCTGTCGGTACAATCATTTGATGACTAATTTATAAAAAGGGTGAAAAGCAGCTATTTAAACTCGTCGTCACTGTTTTGTTACAAATCAAGTGTGTGTGGAGCCATAACCTCGGAGAATGGGTGAGTCTGAAAACTGCACTTTAAGTAAATTTGGCGCGAGTCAATTTGTTATTACATATTTAAAGTACTACGTGGCCTTAAATTTAGATGATTTAAAACACTCAGATATCCTGTTTGTAATCATTTCCTCTCCATAGTACTTTTCGGACTTATTTATATGTGTGGGAATGTTTCAGTGTGTGATGTTGTGACTGAGTGCTCAGCAGTGTTAACCCGCCATCACTCACCATAACGTTTACAACGCGCTGCCTGTGATACATGGACTGACCACCTCCACTAAAAATATCAGTGCAGGAGGAAGTTAAATCAAACCAGAGCTTTGGATACAACGTGCTCCCGCTGAGCCTGCTTTACTGGATAACATGAACCAAAGTGGAGAACTTACCGTCTTCAAACGGTGTTCCCACCGGCCTGCAGACAGAGACAGAGAGAGAGAATTATTTACAAATTCCAAAAGTCTTCAGTGTTAGAATCAGGCCTTCGAGGATTTGCTCTGCACAGACACCAGCGTGTCTATTTGCTCCTCACATTGACGGAGCCGATTAAAACAGCTGCACTCAAGTTTCACATTTCTAACAGCTTCCCCTTTGACTCTGAATAAGGCGAGGAACTATTAGCAACATCTATTTTAAACCCACGTTGTCTCTCTGGTTTGTTTTTGTTGCAACGTGTTGAGTTTTTCCAATCACTCTCTGCTGTTGCTTGTCCTCTTGATGCTGCGTTTTTTTGCTTTTAACTTTTGAATATCATACTATAATACTATAAATGTTTCATTCGCACTTCAAATTGTGTCCCAAGATACATCACAAATTCAAAAAAAGGTCACAATTTTGTTTTAGTCTTTATCAATCCTTCCTCCTTTTCCTTGACCGCTGAACTCCATCCCTAACAATACCCCCCCCCCCCCTCTTCTGTTTCTTTTATTTTTAAAGCAGGACAACGTGGCTGGGTTGTGTGGGGGGGGGGGGGGGGGGGGGGGGGGG